AATAGTGTAAGAAAAAATGATTTTATTGTAAAGGAAAGCGTGGGGTGCTTTTCAGGATATGATCAAAATAACCCTTCTACTCATATCTGTTCATAAAATATTTATAATTACTGATACCATGCAACCATACTTATACCAATAAAATCATTTTTTCTTACACTATTTTTTATTAAATTTTTTAGTTGGGTTTTTCTATAAAAGCGCATTTTGTTAGTTTTTTTTTAAACTATAATATTTTTTTTTGCTTTCTTTTTATTTTTCAGATGTATCGTTAGTTTGGCGTTGGTTAGGATATTTCAATAATGAACGCTTCTAAGAGCACCACAAAATTCCTAGCTTGACATTGACAACGGGAATAAAGGACCGAATGAATCAATAGATCAATAAGTTACAATGTCAATTTATTGAAATTTTTAATTGCTTAGTTGGGTGGACGAGGTCACGGCTCACCTGGTGTAAAGTGGTTACCGGAGCCCATAGACATCTACAAAGTAAATGCCGCCACCCATCCTCGAGATATGAGTTCTAAGGTCTCAGTTTTTACAGTACAACGGCTGCCCCACCCTTAAAACCGAAACGCATTACTGCTTTACGGCAGAAATAGGCAGGAAATAAATAAATAAATATTTACTAACAGTCACGCCACGTTAACTGGTCCCGTGCTAAGTTCGTAAAGAACTTGTGTTACAGGTACCAGATAACGGAAATAAATATAAGATTTTTATTATTCACATACACATCTTTAATATACATGCATAACCTTGGAAAAGACATTTATATTTATCATACAAATATCTTCCCTTGGCGGGATTCGAACCCGCGACCCCCTTGTGTAGTGACCATGTCACTTACCACTACACTAGACGGCCAATAGGAATTTATCCAACAGCGAACTGCTATATAAGCTGATGATGATGATGATAATGACATTACGCGACCCTATGATACATTAGCTTCCATAATCATTCACTCGAAACCAATCCTTCCAATCGACGGTACATGTAAAAACGAAGTTAACAAAACCCATAATAAATAAAGAAGAGGCCCGTCATATATAAATACTAAAACACGAAACGTGACCCAATAAGTCGGAATGGCAAGTCGGCCGGACGCCAGGGCCCATTTAAGGCGAAGTCATCCGAACGATTCCAAAATACAAAACAAGAAACGAAAAAATGAAAGCAAAAAAAAAAAAAAAAAAAAACGACGCAAAGGAATTATGCTTTCATTAGCAAAAACGTTTATCGTAAATCGCCGGACAATCACTGGCCACTAAGAAAACGCGACAACCATTAAGTTTGAATTTCGTAAAAAGAACGAGTCGTTCGTTGATGCAGAAGAAAAAACAAAAAAAAAAAAAAACGACTACATCAAATTCCGAGTTTGAAAAAATTCGCTCGAGCATGCGACTTTGTGTTTGACTGTGGGTTCTGTATTGATATTTATTTTGATTACACGTTCTAAGATCAAAAACAAATTGTGACTTTTTTTCATAGCTGAGTGAAAGATTTTACGGCCCACCTGGTATTAACTCCTTCAGACGTGGAACCGAAATCTCTATTGTATAACTGCTCTAAAGCTCTTCAAATTTGAGCTTTTCTATCAAGTCGGCCCACTACTGGTAAATAATGGAAATCTAAAACTTTTGCGGGCTACATTTTTATATCTTAATGTTATTATTTTATCGTGAAAGTCGTTCGCAGGCAGGTTTTTTTTTTTATTTATTTATCGCTTAGATGGGCTCACAGCCCACCTGGTGTTAAATGGTTACTGGAGCCCATAGACATCTACAACGTAAATGCGCCACCCACCTTGAGATATAAGTTCTAAGGTCTCAAGTATAGTTGCAACGGCTACCCCACCCTTCAAACCGAAACGCATTACTGCTTCACGGGAGAAATAGGCAGGGTGGTGGTACCTACCCGCGCGGACTCTCAAGAGGTCCTACCACCAGTAATAATACGTATTAAGTAATAATACCTATTAAGTAAAAGTAATAAGTCAATAACTATTAAGTACGTATTGCATTTGAAAAATTGGTTTGCCTTCGCGATTTAAAATCTGGTATACCTAATTGAGTCGGTTGGTACGACTCCACTGAGCGTTTTATAGTGCAAAAGATGACTGCTTTAAAATTTGATATTTATTTAACTTAAACAACTTTCAAAAATGTTTGTTAGAAAAGTACACAAGGACTTTAATTTAAAAAGTTCCTACACGATTAAGTAGGCTTGCCAGTACAATTTATAGTTTATTTTTATTCTTGTTAACTTAGGAATTTTATTTCCTCGAAGTGCTGCCAATGCCTTGGTTTCATTAGATTTACAATCGCCAATTAAAACCGGATTTCATTTGATCCTATTGACTAACTACTTCACGGATATAAAGAGGTCTAATAGGGCTTACACCGCGCACCATCACAGTACAATTATTGGCGTTATGTACTGTAGCCATTGACTGCCTTTTGTCCTGACGTTTGAACACGCAATCAATAGTTAAAATTAGCTAATGTATTTAAGAAGCTTTTTTTTAAAATTCTCCGGTATTTTTACTTTCGAAATAAAAGAACTCACTTTGAGAAAAGCCATTGTCGAAAACAGGCCGGTGCGACGTCATCGCGTTCGAAATTTGAAAATTGATTAGATTAAAACAATAATTTCCGCGGAACTCCGAGAACACATGGAACTGTCAAAACGGTCAGTTATAAATTCTGGCGCGCTTTCCTACCATTGGCCGAGTGACCGGTGGGCGGAGTTGCCGTGCTAAGGAGCGGTATTTATTTATGAAGTTGCATTTCATGTGTTTTTTTTTTCCATTCTAGCGTACGTACACTCGATACGTCTTAGGGTGGGAGGTATTTGAATTGCTAAATAAATTGCATTAGCTGTAACTCGAGCGAATGTTTTGCCGGGAAACTAATTTACAACTGTGTACATAGTTGTAGGTTGACACTTTCTTTGAACTTCACGTGACGATGTCGTATTTTAAAAGAACAAACATATCCGCGTCATCGGTAATATAAGTCGATTTTCACGCGAATTATTATTAACAGCACTACCAGCATAAGAAAAGAATGTACTGGTAATGTAAGAAAAGAATTTACTCGTGGTAGGACCTCTTGTGAGTCCGCGCGAGTAGGTACCACCACCCTGCCTATTTCTGCCGTGAAGCAGTAATGCGTTTCGGTTTGAAGGGTGGGGCAGCCGTTGTAACTATACTGAGACCTTAGAACTTATCTCAAGGTGGGTTTTTTTTATTATTATTTTATTTTTATTTTTTTTAAACCACAGGAGAAAATCGCCGGATCCCCACCCGCACGGCAGGTGGGGTATTTGGGAGTCGAACCTCACTAAAAACTCCTGCCGCTCATAGTCGGCGCCCTACCCCGGACCGGGCGGGAACCCAGTCGGAGCTATTGAGACGGCGGGACAGGGTTTACAGGGTTTACACCCATCCCACCGTCCCCCAGACGCCGGACCGGCGGCCGCCAGCAACATGACCGCCGGTTCCCTCGGTCGACGGGCCAAGAGCCCGATTGATAGTGCCGCGCTACACCTTCCCCCGGGTGGCGCATTTACGTTGTAGATGTTTATGGGCTCCAGTAACCACTTAACATCAGGTGGGTTGTGAGCTCATCCACCCATCTAAGTAATAAAAAAAAAAATTAATTTAAGAAAACATAATAATATGAATATTGTCATTGCAGAGACGCGAGTGATCATGCCTAAAGGCCCAATGATGTTGTGAATTAAAAAAAACTTGAGCAACGCGATGTAAATGCCAATTGTACTATCAGTTCCGCTCTTCAAGCCGGAGCACGTGTTTACAATTTCATATATCTATATATTAATACGTGAAGCAAAGACTTTGTACCCCTTTTTACGAAAACTGCGCGAATGGAGGAGTATGAAATTTCCCACACTTATAGAGAATACTAGCCGTACTAGCCCGCTTCGCTGGGCATTTAAAATTAACATTATTATTCATTGTCATTATTATTAGGGAGTCCTACTCATATTTAATAAATATTAGCCTAAGCATTAAGTACATGTATTTTCTACGTGGATACCAAGTTTCAAGTCAATCGGATGCACGGTTCAGTAGTTATAACGGAACATCCGTACAAAGCACTGTAGATTTATATATTAGTACCTATAGATAGAGAAGGAGTGAAGAATGTTTTTTTTTTTTTATTATGTATAAAAAGCATTAAATCAATAAAAAAACATTGTGTTATGTCAAATACATGGTAGTGTACACGCACTACACACACTTAAAAAGATATATACTCTGTGTTTATTGACAAACTTTTATTATTATTTAAAGTCTGTGATCAAACTGAGAATAGATTAGTATTGTTTGTCTTTAATATTATTTGTCCTCTAGTGTAGTCTTGGCGAAATCTGTGATTGACAATAGAACCATAATATTTTTCAAACTTATAATTTCAATTAATTATATTAGAGTTTCGACTACTGGGGAACCACTAGTCAAAATTTAATTTTATTTTTTATTTTTTTTATTGCTTAGATGTGTGGACGAGCTCACAGCCCACCTGGTGTTAAGTGGTTACTGGAGCCCATAGACATCTACAGCGTAAATGCGCCACACACCTTGAGATATAAGTTCTAAGGTCTCAGTATATCCATAATTACGATCTATAAATTTTCTCTACCACTAGATAATCTAGACTCCTTAAGATCATTGATGCGATATGTTGTAAGTATCTCAACTCCATTAGCTTGAAGTGTGTATACGAGTATATTATAGCATAGCATAGCATAGCATAGTATTAGCATAGCATTTAGTATATAACATAATTAATAGGTGTAATCTCGTATGTGCCCCTAATAAGGCGGCCCATCCAGAAACATAGGCTTCTTCATAATTGTAAACTAGGATTAAGATGATTATTAAACATGGAATATACGCAAGAAGACGTTTTCCTTTAACACCTCCCAAAGTACAACATTACAGGATACGTCAAAGGCTTTACTCACCAGGTTCGTCGACCTTGTAGGACACGTCGCAGGATCCGTCCTTCCTGTCCTTGAAGTCGATCTCCGCCTTGCTGGGCCCCTCCAGGGAGATGGCCAGCTGTCCGGCGCCAGCCTCACGGGTCCAAACGTTGAACTCATTGAATCTAGGGAATTACAAACGAACACTTTGGAGATTGTATACAAAGGGACTGATCTCCACATCTGGGTCTCTGGAGTTGAGTCTGGAGTTGGACGCAAATTACGTCTTTGTGGGTAGAGCTTCAGCGGTACCTACATGTGTTTTTCTGTTAATTAATTTAATTAGGTATATTTCATTCAAATAGTATTCGGTCTGTCTTTCTGTAGAATATTCTAGAACGTCTCATTCATCATTCTCCTGCCCTTCTCCCAGTCACTCCCCTCTTACACGTATCGTTTTTCACGCAATCCATCCATTTCTTCTTAGGTCTACCTCTTCTTCTATAGCCTTCCACATTCATAGTTAACACTCTCTTACCAACCTCATTGTCATTTCGTCTCATCACATGCCCATACCATCCCAAACGGGCACTTCTCAACTTCTCTGTCACAGGTGGCACTTTCAGACTTCCTCTAACATATTCATTCCGTATCCTATCCATTCTCGTTACTCCACACATCCATCGCAACATTCGCATCTCTGCTGCATTCAATCGCCTTTAATCAGCCATTTTAGTTTGGCTGCAATCGCTTGAACGTCTCAGAATTAGAATAGAATAGAATCTCAAAATAGAATTCTAGAACATCTCAAACTCTTAAATGAATACAATAAACATGTACTTGAGGGTAGTTTAAAATCGAAGATGAATTTAATGGACGTGCCAGATTTAGATCGAGAAGTTCTGGCACGATAACCATTTTCTCATCACGTCTGTGATGGAACACTATAACGTACCTGCCAGCTTCTCCTCGCTCCAGACCTCCACCGCCGGCCTTCACCAAGTGAGCGCCGGAGTCGCGGAGAGGACCCACGGTAAACTGGAACGGAGATCCTGTGGGGGAAAGCCATCATTGCATCAGCCATCGAACTGCATCCCTGGGAGTATAGGGGAGGGGAGTATGGAAATAGTGATCGTTTTGACATAATTTAACAGAGCGCTATTTACACCTCAGAAAACAGTTCTAAAAAAAGGACCTTTTTTCTGAAAAAGGAAGCATCTGGAAGGGGGATTACCTCTTCATTTATAATGAATTACTCAACTATATTGGAATGGAATAACATAAAGTAGATTTGTCTGAAGTATATTAAATGCCGATGAAACGAGATGAGATAAATTGAAACAGTGGTCCAATGAAGCAATGAAAATTCGCAAGACTAGCGGGCTTTTGGGGGAGCCTAAGATTCCACGGCTAGCGACTATGTCCTTACTGGTGGTAGGACCTCTTGTGAGTCCGCACGGGTAGGTACCACCACCCCACCTATTTCTGCCGTGAAGCAGTAATGCATTTCGGTTTGAAGGGTGGGGCAGCCGTTGTAACTATACTTAAGACCTTAGAACTTATATCTCAAGATGGGTGGCGCATTTACGTTGTAGATGACTATGGGCTCCAGTAACCACTTCACACCAGGTGGGCTGTGAGCTCGTCCACCCATCTAAGCAATAAAAAAAAACCGCATATTTATTTCACACCCGAACCTACCGGGAATATGGATTTCCCTGTATTTTACAGAGACGGTGTGAACGCCAAGTTCCTTGGGCACGAAGTGAACGGAGTACAGGCCGTCTTCGACCTCCTGGATTTCGGCGTCTTCAGAGACTCCCCCAGGACTGGTCACGGTGGCGGCCAGATCGAATGATGTGATACCTGTAAAAAGACACAAGCGACAATGAGTTCCAAACAGAAACAATCGAACCGAAAGTAAAACTACAATCTAAAGCTCTATTTTGGGGTATTCATCAGTAAATCCGGCAAAAAAACTAGGAACAAGTTTTCAATATATCTTCTCATCAACAGTACACTATTCTACAAATTTCCCCTGTGTTATATGAACCGCAAACAGACATGTTATACAAGTAAAAGTAAATACGCAGAGATCTTTAATGCCAAATATGAGAGACCAGAAATTTAACTGGGAGACTTGCATTGGTCAGATTCTAAATCAATTAGGAGAAAAGTTATGCAAGAGCATTTTCTTAACAACAAAATTCGGACCATCTGGCCACGTCCTGTTTGTATTAGTTATTACCTTTAGATAGGGCTGCTGGGCTGAAGGTATACATCCTTATAAGAATTTTTTCTTTCTTTTTATATATTTGCACTGCTCTTACTAGAGGTAGTGTTAGCAAATTTTCTTAGGTTGAGCCTGTGAGCTCACCTACCCGTCCGGGCGTAGCTGAAATAGCCTCTTAGACTATCAGCGAATAGGTAGAGAAAAGAAGTGGTGGTACCTAATCGGGCTAGCAATATGCCCCACTGCCAATCCAGAGAAGATGAACACAAGTTCCGAGAGACATTTTACTGGTGGTAGGACCTCTTGTGAGTCCACGCGGATAGGTACCACCACCCCGCCTATTTCTGCCGTGAAGCAGTGGTGCGTTTTGGTTCCAAGGGTGGGGCAGCCGTTGCAACTATACTTGAGACCTTAGAACTTATATCTCAAGGTGGGTGGCGCATTTACGTTGCGGATGTCTATGGGCTCCAGTACCCACTTAACACCAGGTGGGCTGTGAGCTCATCCACCCATCTAAACAATAAAATAAAAAAAGCGGTCATCAGAACCGTTGGTCTGCCGAACGATGAGTCCCGCTAAAAGACCATGACCTTGCCTTAAAACTATCACTCACCAGGCATTTTGAAGGTCAGTTTGCAGTTGGTGCCCACTTCGGTGAGGGGGGCGGAGTCGCGGTGCCTCTGAATCTTCTCGCGCTGTCTGTTGCTGCCTTCACCGGTCACCTGTGGACCGAAGCAGAGCATTCCTTACAGTAACTATTTTTGTCTTCTTTCTTCTTCTCCATCGCTCCCTCATTACTGAGGATCGTGACTCCGTTTCAGCTTGTCGACTTATGTCTTACTTTCCGCAAAAACCTCTTCAAGTTAATTGCAGACTTTTTATTACGCTAATTCGTTAGACCAGTTCACGGAGTCATTGGTATTGAGTTACAGGAGTCTATGGACATCACAGCATGAATGCCGCCGCCCAGTTTGAGACGTGAAGTGCTTTGTCAGTTGTCTAATAAAAATAGAATGATTGAAATCGGTTTACCTATAAAAATGTTCTGAGGTAACACATATAAAAAATACCCTCGAATTGAGAATAGCCTCCTTTTTTGAAGTCGATAAATATTAGCATAAATGTGTTTTTAACTAAGTTGCCTTCATTAGAATTTAATCTGCATTACCTTTGGTTGACTGGTAAAAAATCCTTTAGGCAGCCGCCAGTGCGATATATATATGCATCAGGAAAAGTACCTTGACGGTGAAGGGAGATCCCTCGACATGGTGATCAGCGAATTTAAGGTTGACGATGTAGTATCCCGGCTCTGTGGGCTTGTAGCTGATCGCCAGCACGCCATCCTTGCTGTCAGCGCACTGGATTTCCGCTTTACTGGGACCTGGAAGGACATAACCCTTACTCACTACCCACTTGATATTCAAACTTCAAATTATAATAATATAAAAATACTAGCTGGACCCGTCCGCTTCGCTGGGCATTTAAAATTTAAAATTATTATTTCTCACCCCACAAAGATTCTCATCATTAACGCCCCCACAACTGGTGTAGGGAGTCCAACACTCATATAAATGTTAACCTATCCATTAAGTACATGTATTTTCTACATGGATACCAAGTTTCAAGTCAATCGGATGCATGGTTCAGTAGTTATAACGGAACATCCGTAAATGCCACCTTAGATTTATATATTAGTATAGATTCATCTGATTATCTCTTCTTCTCTATTCTTCTCATAGATTATTTCCATTTAACGACATGCAATGACAATGAACTGCATCAAAACACTGTTCTCAAGAACCTTTATAGAGATGAACTTATAATGATAATTTTAGGTGATCTCCATACCTTCGATGGAGAGGGAGAGACCGCCGTAGCCAGCGTTCCTGGTGTCCACGGAGAACGTGTTCTCGCACTGAGTCTTGCCTTCCTTCAGAGCAGTTCCGGAGACCTGCCACATGAGGAATTGGTTGGTTTTAATGTACATTGAAATTTTGAGAATTCAATATCTGTGTATCTTTTTATTTATTGCTTAGATCGGTGGACGAGCTCACAGCCTACCTTTGTGTTAAGTGGTTACCGGAGCCCATAGACATCTAAAACGTAAATGCGCCACCCACTTTAAGATATAAGTGTTAAGGTCTCAGTATAGTTACAACGGCTGGCCCACCCTTCAAACCGAAACGCATTACTGCTTCACGGCAGAATAGGCGGGGTGGTGGTACCTACCCGTGCGGACTCACAACAGGTTCTACCACCAGTAACTCACAAGAGGCCCTATCACCAGTTAGACCAGGGGTGAGCAACCTTTTAATCAATGGGCCAATTTAAATATTTTTTTGGCGTGTCGCCTATTGTTTAACTCTTATTATAATAAATATGAATCTTTATTTATAATAAATATTAGAATAGATAAATATAAAACAAAAAAAAGTTAAGAATTCACATACAAATTTTAATGTAAGATAAAAACAAACAAGAAAAGAACAGAAATGAGAAAGGCGACGAAATAAATTCAATTTTAGAAATGCTTGGCGGGCCGCGTGTTGCTCATCCTTGTCTTAGACTAATACCATTTACCATTTACCATTTAAATAAATAATAAATAAATATTTACTAACAATCACGCCACGTTAACTGGTCCCGTGATAAGCTCGTAAAGAACTTGTGTTACAGGTACCAGATAACGGAAATAAATGTAAGATTTTTATTATACACATATATATATATTTAATAGACATCCATAACCCTGGAAAAGACATTTATATTTATCATACAAATATCTTCCCTTGGCGGGATTCGAACCCGCGACCCCCTTGTGTAGTGACCATGTCACTTACCACTACACCAGACAGCCTTATGAAAAAGAAAATTGTAAGAAAAGAAAAGCCGTATACTATGAAAAAGAAAATTATGCGCCAAAATTCAAAGCGAAATAATTGATGTTAAGTGGTTGATTACCAGAACCCATTCAGGTCACAACTTGAAGACCCTCGTAGAGGAATGTGAAGGAGTCGCCTGTACAGCTACAAACCTTAACTTTCTTAGCGTCACCGACTTCTTGCTCGTGGACGGTGATGTTGAAAGGAGAGTTCTGGATGTGGACGCCCATTTTCTTGACGGAGACGATGTGCTGGCCGGCCTCGCGAGGTGTGAAGCTGATGCCGATGTTCCCAGACGGCAACCGTTTGAGGAAGCACGGCTCCTCAAGGCCGGAAGGAGCCTTAAGGGATTGACAATGCAAATTCAAATTCAATTCAAATTCAAATTCAAATTCAAAATTATTTATTTCAACTTAGATGTCAGTATGACACACTTGTTGAATGTCAAAATAAAAATAACAATATTAACTCTACCACCGGTTCCAAAAAAAGCCACAGTCCTGAGAAGAACCGGCGAAACAAACTCAGCGGGCTCATTTTTTTGTTTGTTTTTTTCTCAAAATATTTCCTTTTTTTTAAAATAAATAAAAATATTTACAATAAAGGAAAAAACAAGTCAAAAAATACAATTAAAATAATAATAATAATAATGCAAAATGAAAAGGCCATCACATACGTATGCCTTTCAATTTGAAATCCGAATCGCGTTAACTAGACTGTTGCAAAAATACCCCTTACTAAAACATCTGTTTAGCATTTAGTGAGGATGTTTTTTGGAACGAAGTTCCTTATGGGACGATGCGGAGGGGTACCCTAACCAGGAAAAAACGTCCGTAAGATTTTTATTAGTAATGCACACAGTGTACGACTTAACTTTGTAATAACCTACAAATCATAACATATTTTTATTATGTATTTTTTATAAATCATTATGAATAAAATAAAGTTGATAACTTTGTCTTTACAAAAAAAAAACTACTTTTAGTTTTTTTTTATCAATTAAAAAACCACAATAAAAAATGTATACCCGAATAATTATTTTCTTTATACCTCGAATAGAACTTAAAATTAATATTTTTATAATAAGGAACTTCGTTCCTATCCGGTGTCCCACGACACCACGTCTTTTTTTAATTATTTTATTGCATAGGTGGGTGGAGGAGCTCACGGCCCACCTGATGTTAATTAGTTACCGGAGCCCATAGACATCTACAACGTGAATGCCGCCACCAAACTTGAACGATCACCGGATGTATTAGATCAAACTTACCTGGATGGAAGCGTTGAGACTGCGAATGTCATCGTCATTGACTTTACCGGGTAGTGTGACCTCGCTGCAGCTCCCGACAGAGATTTGATTCCTCTTTCGGCCCTCGCCGGTCACCTACAAAAACCACAAACAATGAATCTTGTTCATTAGCTGAAATCTAGTCGAGTTTTTTAAAAAGATTTAAATTTGAAGGTCTTAAGTCCGTTGCTAAGCCTCTAAAATTCTATACAACAAACAAAAAAAAACATCGATTTGTATATCTCGGGTTCATACAATGAAAATCTACAAAGATAGGTCACTTCAGACGTATAATAATTATTTACGATTTTCAACTATAACTTAAGGTCATAAAGCTTACACAATTTTTAGGCGAACAACTTAGGACATTTTGACTAATTAAGTAAGTAGGAAGATAGGAAATTGGGGCGTCCTAAACGAAAGTGAGAAAGACGATATACGGCCCACCTGATGGTGAGTGGTTACCGCCGCCCATGGACTTTAGTAATGCCAGGGGCAGAGCCAAGCCGCTGCCTACCGTTAAGCACATTCCACAAGCCTCGTTTGAAAAAGGACATGTCATAGCACACGGGAAACACCGTGGAGGGGAGCTCATTCCAAAGCCGGATGGTGTGTGGCAAAAACAATCTCTGGAAACGCACTGTGAATGAAGGCAGTGGCTCTAGGTAGTATGGATGAACTCTACTCCGGTAACGGGTAAAAACGAGATGATGGGATCATCTCAAACAATTCCTCAGAGCACTCCAATTAATTACCTTGGCCACGAACGGTGAACCCTTGATGTGTTTGTCGCCGAACCTGACCGAGATCTTGTACTCCCCGGGAGCGGTGGGCAGATAAGACACAGAGACTGTGCCGTCCTTGTTGTCGTGGCAAGTTATCTGGTGGCCAAAAAATCTGATGATTAGAAGTTCTTGATAGGTATACTATCTTCCCACCCATCTCGAAAAATGAGGTCGACAATCCCAATTGAAAATTACAAAACAGTTACCCCATCCTTATATTATTAATAACTGTAAAATCCAAGACTTGACCATAATTTAGCAATATGAAATAACTGTATTAATGGACAAATGAATGTAATTAAACCAATTTTCACAGCTTAATCTCGGGTTTGATTCGTCCGTGACTATATACACTGAAAGCAGTTTGAAAAGTGGCCTTTTTTCCTACCTATGCTGATAGCCTTGAGAGGCCATTTCAGCTTCGCCCTAACATGTAGGAGAGCGCACGGGGCTCAAACCGGAGTGTTGCTAATGCTGGCCCTAGCAAGAGCAGTGCTTCGCAGAATCTACCACCAGATCGGAAACGCGACCCACTGAGAAGATCCGGCGAGAAACTCAGTGGGCTGTGTCTGTGGGTTAATTCGGAGACCGGTGTTTGTGGTACCTAAGAGCATCGTTAATTGATCTAGAAGTGGTCTTCATTACGTCTACTACGAATACAAATGCTGCATTAATGAATAATGATTCATTATATTTTTAGAGGCCTTTGGACCTTACAATTTTATCTGCGTTACGGTTCCATAACAGAAGCTCCTAACTAGAGATGTTGAAACGGAATCTTTAAAAAAGTGGATGGACCTACCTCAGCTTTGCTAGGACCCTCAACGGCCATAGACAGTCCACCGGCACCGGCGCCCTTCGTGCTGATGGTGAACTGGCTCGGCTCTCCACTAACGCCATTGATCAGACCTGGACCGTAGGCGGTTACGTAGCCCGAGGAAATGGAGTCCACGTGGAACTTGTACGGGGAGCCTATAAATCAAATCGGTGGCTTCAATTAGTATACTTCTTGATAACTGTGTTTATATATTTAAATTTTTGAAGTTCGCTACGGTATATAGCTAGCTATAGAACTATGCACTTCTAAGCATGCTATATAGCATGTGTAATATCTTCTCTGTGCTAAACCGGTAGTATCCATTTATAGCGGCAGTCATTCGTAAACATACGTGAGGTATATGTCACGTTCGTATATTATTGCTGGTGGTAGGACCTCTTGTGAGTCCGCACGGGTAGCTACCACCACCCTGTCTATTTCTGTCTTGAAGCTGTAACGCGTTTCGGTTTGAAGGGCGGGGCAGCCGTTGTAACTATACTGAGACCTTAGAACTTATATCTCAAGGTGGGTGGCGCATTTACGTTGTAGATGTCTATGAGCTCCAGTAATCACTTCGCACCAGGTGGGCTGTGAGCTCGTCCACCCATCTAAGCAATAAAAAAATAAAAAAATGATTCGGTATCAGTCTGTAGGATTCGAACACCGGCACAGTTGCATCGCTCGATAACAATGTACTGGGCATCTTATCCTTTAGGCCACGACAATTATTTGGGTTAATTTATCCTATTAAGATTAATCGTCAACTATAACCACTAATCTTCGTGTGAGAGTTCTGATTTGATTTACCTAAACGCATCGATCCATAGACACCAAAATCGGTAGGGGGGTCAGTAGACAACCTATTCGTTAGAACCCATATTACGATTAGCCACGAGTTAACAAATACCTGATTGTATAAATTAACGTTTCCATTTCATTAGTTGGCCTTATTCTCTTAACCGTCGTGCGTGTTCGTGAGCTTCTTACACGTTTATTAAGTCAACGATCTAAATATTGACAGGTGCTTACGTCAAGTTGTTTCTAATTTACTTATTGACATTGTTAATGCTGTGACGGCTCATAAAGTCTGTTCGTTCATCTCAGGATTTGCTAAAACCTACCTTGAACGTGCTCTCCGTTATATTTGACGTAGAGCTCGTGAACGCCTTCCTCGCGAGGGTCGTATTTGATGCTGACGGTACCATCGCGGTTATCTTCAATGACGGGCTGGTCAATGTGGCCGCTGGGCATCTTTACTTCGGCTGCGAAACGAAATGTCGAATAAAATTATTTCATCCGAGCGAATTGCGGCAGTTTCTCCTGAGTAATAGGAATCATTTTTGAGTGATGTTTAGTGATCGGTGTGTAAGCTTTCAAACCATTTAAAATTTTACGCCCTCTACAAATTAAGTATTATGTTCAGTATTCTATTTAAGCTCGATATTTAGAGCCTAAAAGATTAAAACTCTAATCGCTGTGTACAATATAGAACGAATCTTAGATGAAAATGTACCCAAGAGAACTTTTCAAATGTTACTCTTTTTTTTTAAGCGCCAATATTTTTCGTTAAAGTCGTTAATAACATTATAATTTGTTTGAGAGCATGGTGTCGCCGCATATTTTCGCGATTCTGACGTCGCTTTTGCGTCAATACATCGGACGTACAGAAATAAATTGACAAACAGCGGTCTTTATCAATTCGGCGACAGGTTACAAAAGTTATACAATGATTCGCTGAACACCCCAAAGAAAATTTTGTAACAGTTCAGTGATGTTATTATATAAAATAACACGTAGTTCATCTAAAAATAATGCTTTTAGTTGGCCAGGTAAAAATATGTAGGAGGCGTTAATTAAAATACATGTCACAGACAAAATCAATCGCCGGAAGCCAATTTTTTAGGGTGACCCCTTAGAGGGATTCGAGATGCCTGAATAAATTTGTCTTGCCCAGACACGCTCAGCTGTGGTAATTAAAATCTAAAGAGCTTGGTTAACAACTCAATTTTACTACAGACACGCAAACAATATTTATGCATTGTCTATTCTCTAAAAGCCATTTTTATAAGAGAAAGGTATTTTTTAACCATATAAAATAAGAGTTTTTTTCGGGAATATTATGAAAATACAAGAAAACGAATGTTTTTTTTTTATGCATATACTTATAGTATTTGAACATCCAATTAGTATATTTGTTTATAATAATAAAATTCAAATAATAGAACCAAAAGCAGATAAAGTAAACGAAACACAAAAAGAAGACACAGATAAAGTCCTTCACTATTGCCATAGTTGCAATGCTGACATAACCCATTAAAGGTTGATGTCAGACAGGCGGTCGGTCGCAAAACTCATGACAAATCCCGACGCGCAATATTAAAAGGACATACTGCGCTGACCTCAAAGAATGTGAACCAAGGATAAGAAGAGAAAGAAGAAGATACATTAAAAGTTCATATCGAGGAGTGTAAGGCGGTTTGGTTTAAGCAATATTTTTGTTTAATACGCGACATTGATCTTTATTATTAAAGGCCCGTTTTATTTGGTATAAGTATCAACAATTTGATGTTTTTAATTGAACTTCAATTACCCCATTCAAATAGCTGAAGAAGTTTCTTTGTCATGATGTTTTTTTCCAAATTTTAAACTTTTATTGACTCTGCTGTAATGTTGCAAAAATGATTGCTTAAATTGCCTTTCGCCCGTCGATATGATTTGAGAAAGGGAAATCTTGACAGAAAAATGTAAGGAATTCACGCTGTGATGTCACGATTTTACTGGTGGTAGGACCTCTTGTGAGTCCGCACGTGTAGGTACCACCACCCCGCCTATTTCTGCCGTGAAGCAGTAATTCGTTTCGGTTTGAATGGTAGAGCAGCCGTTGTAACTATACTGAGACCTTAGAACTCATATCCCAAGGTGGGTGGCGCATTTACGTTGTAGATATCTATGGGCTCCAGTAGCCACTTAACATCAGGTGGTCTGTGAGCTCGTCCACCCAGCAAAGCAATAAAAAAAATATGGTTGAGAAAAATATGTCTGAGATAGGCGTTGAGTGGGCAAATAGTAAACTTGTTACATCGAATTAGTGCAATTGAAAATGACCCAAGCACAACCAACCTTTTCTGGAATCAATGTGATAGATCGTCACAAAGTTGAGTGGAGTGAATGTGTATCCAAAAGCGCTTTTGTTGAAGGATATTTTGTGTGTCTCCGCGTAAACTGTTGGCGATTCCTCTTTATCGACTTCGGATACAGAGAAATATTTCTTCGTCGTATCCAAATAGAACTGGCTTATATCTTGCCAGGAAACTTCTTTTTCGTTGAGGCCAACGAGGGAATTCCAAAGGCCACTCATAAAAGCCATCTAATTAGCATTAATATATTTTTTTTATAGCTTGAAAGGAATTTACGAATTTTGTGTATATCTTTTACATGTTTTATTTGTATGTGTGTTTGTGTGTGTTTATTATGTATCTAATTTGTGTTTTAAAAATCGAAGATTGTTATTTGGGTTTTGTAATTTGAAGTATTGTTTTAAATTTCAAAGCGACCAGCACATTTTCACGTCTAATTAGAGTAAAATGTCTATGATGTCTGAATCATTGTATCTATTTTGTATTAGGGTAGAACGTGTTATGAAGATAATAGATACATTACCGTTGTTCTATTAGCATTTTAAAAAGTTTGTTTACTCAAAAGTATACAACAGAATCTATTCAGATATATGCAATGCTTTTAATACGTCGTTGCGATATCTATCCAGACACCAAAAGCAAACCGTCATAGATTGAATGGAAAAAATTCTATACTCTTTAATTATCTATTATCTATATTTAAAAAGGAATTGCTGTTCGTTAGTCTCGCTAAAACTCGAGAACGGCTGGACCGATTTGGCTAATTTTGGTCTTGAATTATTTGTGAAAGTCCAGAGAAGGTTTAAAATGTAGATAAATATGAAAATGCTCGGAATTCAATAAAAATCCCCCGGCGGCGGACGGATTCATTTTGTTTGTTTTAAGTTTATTTTATACAAAAGTTTAGGTCTTTTATTTATCAATTGAGGCACTACGAAGTCTGCCGGGTCAGCTAGTTCTAAATAAATATCAGCAGCTGTGATTTAATTTCAATGTGCAAAAATCTTTACACTACATTGATTTTTGGACAACACTTATTTAATCCGTAATTCATATGATTACTTTGTTTAATTATTAAGTATGTATACATATATATTTATTTCATATTTTATTTTGTCATTCTTTTTATTTATATCAAATAAATTCTTTTCTGCGGTGTATAATGAACCCATAACTTAGTTCAATTTATTTTCAACCTTTCCACAAACGAAATAATAACTCATTTCAATTAATAAGAAGTAGTAGTATAAATTGCATAGCAATAGTTGTAATTAAAATTTCCCCTAGACATTATTTAAATTCAATTTACAAAAAAAATATCACCAGAGAGGCGTACCGAACATTAAAATGACAATTACTCGTATTTATTTTCTTAATGCCAACAGACTTATCGCATGAATTCGTTTTTGAACTCAATAACTTAATAGAAAGGTTAGATAATAATAAATAGTCCAATTTTTATTTAAATAAAATCCTTTAAATCTATTTCTGCTCATCACAAAATAGAGAAAACAAGCACGCGTCGAAAACACCTTAACATTTCATAAAATAATTGAGCTATAAAATATTTTTTTTAACGTTTTTCGACAAGTTCTCGAAGCAGTTTCGACTATTAGCAGGTGCTAAAAGCGTTTTATATACGAATACTGATATCTTCGAGTGTTGTATCGCGTCATATTTTATTATTATTGCTTCTGTTTTGTTGCGTATGAAATTGAACGGTGTGAGCCGAATTAATTTCTGTTTTTTTTAACAAAAAAGAATCGGTACTAAAATAGCAATAGCAAGCTTAATCGCTAAGCTTCCTGTCACCGTCTTCGTCGAACCCGTCGCTTGCGGCGAAGGGCTCGACGAGTGAATTAACCCATAGACACAGCCCACTGAGTTTCTCGCCGGACCTTCTCAGTGGGTCGCGTTTCCGATCCGGTGGTAGATTCTGCGAAGCACTGCTCTTGATAGGGCCAGTGTTAACAACACACCCGGTTTGAGCCCCGTGAGCTCACCTACACGTCAAGGAGAAGCTGATATAGCCTCTCAAGACTATCAGCATAGGTAGGAAAAAAAGCTAAGCTATTTTAGCAGTTAATAACGATAGTGCGAAAATCAATTAAACTATGTGTTTTATTATTAGTTTAGCTAGACATGCCGCGTTGTTATAAAAGTCCACTCTCGGAATCCTTTAGAGTGTGGTCCAAAATTGACGACATATCAACTTTGAACCTAAACTCTTGTATAATAAGATTCAAAATTCAAAATTGTTCGGTACAATCTCATTCGGCTGTACAATGTCGATCTAGAATATGACTACAATCTTTCCGTTGGTATTGCGATCCACCGAAGAACATATAGCAGCGTATTGATTTCTCCGAGTACTTTACCAGAAACCGCGATCGCCCATTGGCTTTTACTGAAGAGCTATGAGGCCGTACGGGTAGTCCAACCAATATTTAAGTACTAACTTCACCTAAATCGGCTTCGCAGCGATCATGTCTTCCGTTTAAAAAGGTAGGACAGCCGCTACGCAATTGGACTCCGTGGGCTTATGTTCTGCTTATTTCTATAGTGAAGGTATCTTCGCGAAGTTCTTACAAAACAATTTAATTGCTTAGGCGAACGAAGGTCCGGCTGGTGTTAAGTACCAGGACCCGTAGACACCGTAACATGAATGCCGCCATCTACCTCGAAAATTGACGTCTATGGCTGAGTTTTACGGTAATTGTTGGCGAGGAAGAGGAGGCAAGCAAGTGGTGTACGAAAGAAATGATTGTTTTATTGTTTCCTGCCAAAATTATATTTTAAATACTTAATTTACGTAGGAAGTGAGAATATTTTTGAATAATGGAATGTTAAGGAGCTATTTAAGGTACGGAGCATATATTAGTCGAATGTCTCTTTTTAAAGATCGATGTGCATTTTTTTTATGATTGAAGTATTACTGGTGTCCCGGAGGCCTTTCCAGTTTCAGCAGGACACGTGGGCGAGCAAGGCTCAGTCAGAAGGAGTGGGATTTGCTAACAGCTGCCTGAGTGCCTCCGAAGGGAACCTAACAACTCAAGAGCAGCTGCTTCTCGAATGAATCCACTACCGGATCGGAATTGCGACACCCTGAGAAGATCCGGCGAGAAACTCAGCGGGCTGATACATGGGTTAGGTTGCACGTCGAACTCTTTGTCGAGTTCGACGAGTATGGTTACCGGGGTCCCTAAGCCTGCTCCTATTGTTAGAGCTGAAGGTATCTAATGCAATAGTTATTGGATCTGATAGATCCGTAAGGACGTGTCTAGGGCGATGACGGTGATTTGCTCCTGCGTGATCAGGATTAGGGGAAATCGGTGTGCATTATTTCTTGCTCAGTACTATACACGGGTGTTATGCGTAAGGTTGTTGCGATTGAATTGTGTGCGGCGCGGCGGCGTGTGGGGGTACTGCTCGATCGCATGTTGTTTTGTTGGTAGTACTGTGCGCATAGACAATAATTACACAAATTGTAATCTACAGGAGGAATTTTATTACAAGCCTTCGTCATCGAAGTCATTCATGAACGTATTAAATTTAATAAAAAAGCAGTTCTTATCTGCGGGATTTGAACAATGGTATAATCGCACGGCTCGATACGATTACACCCAACGTCTTATTATCCTTTAGGCCGCGTCAACTTCGGAACCTTTGCCCAAGGAAAGCCAATAAATAAAAAACCATTACATTAAATCATTCACGCATTGAATCATGTAGCACGCGATTTCAACGGAAACCAACAGCTAAATTAACATAATAATAACGCAAACGATATTTTAATACAGTTAAAAAAACACGTTACGTTTTTCCCAAAATCGTGAACGTCCGTCAGATAAACGTCGTCATAAATCGATACTGAACAAACATAAAATCGATTAAGGTCGATGTTTTAGGCACGTTTCCAAATCGATATTATTTTAAAGTCATCATTAAAAGATATGTCCGTTTGACATCCGCCAAATGTATTACACCAGTGACACTGGGGAATTTTCGCCAACGATTATATGTAAGTATGCAGCGATACGTCAATTAATTATATTTAAAGGGTGGAATTCACTCAAAGGGCAATGGCAATGGCTGTGTTCGTAGTTTCCCAGCGACTCCTTATTGGTGGTAGGACCTCTTGTGAAGCAGTAATGCGTTTCGGTTTGAAGGGTGGGGCAGCCGTTGTAACTATACGTGAGACCTTAAAACTTATATCTCAAGGTGGGTGGCGCATTTACGTTGTGGATGTCTATGGGCTCCAGTAACCACTTAACACCAGGCGGGCTGTGAGCTCGTCCACCCATCTAAGCAATAAAAAACAAAACTTCCCCATCATTAAAATCGAAAAATATGATTCCTTCGCGGCAGAAATAGGTGGGAATCTGTCTTCAATGGTATAATCATAATATGTCCTACCACTGCTCTAAAATTGCCGCAGAAGCCCTCACACGAGCAGCTTTGGATCAAGAGATCAAGAATACCAACCAGGTCAATGCACTAAAATAACATGTTGATGTAATAATTTTAAAACGCAATAATTTACGGTATCTGAAATCAAAACACGCACACATCATCGCTAATCCTAAGCGTTGAAGATTTATTCCGTAGCTACAGATGAAATTTCATTTTTATCATTACAAATTAGTCACAGTCCTAGTCGACTTTAAAAAAGTTATCGTTCGTTATTAACGTTAAGATCCGTGTGTGTTATAAGCGACACTTCTTTGTGACAGACTATATAGAAGTAAACGGCGATTGGTCCTAAAATGAATTTCTACTATAAGTCGTCGATGGCATTGAACAACACGTGACCTGTAGATGGCCCGCGGCTTACGTAGAAGTCTTTTAAAGCTAATCTGAAGGACAGTTCGTAGCTCTCAGCACACAGCGGTTTACCGGTAGGCAGCGGCTTGGCTCTGCCCCTGGCATTGCTGACGTCCATGAGCGACGGTAACCACTCACCATCAAGTGGGCCGTATGCTCGTCTGCCTATACGGCAATAAAAAAAAAGCGTGGCGGAAACTTTACTTTTTTTTTTCTTTTTTTCCTACTTAGGCTGATGGCCTTGAGAGGCTATTTCAGCGTAACCTTAACTAGTAGGTGAGCTCGCGGAGCTCAAGCCAGAGTGATGCTAACACTGACCCTAGCAAGAGAAGTGCTTCGCAGAATCTATCAACGGATCGGAAACGCGGCCCACTGAGAAGATCCGGCGAGACACTCAGTGGGCTGTGTCTATGGGTTAATTCGCTCGTCGAGCCCT